GGCCACCACCACAGCAGCAGCCCTACCAGCCTAGGCAAGGGCAGCCATTCCAGCAGCCTCAGCGTCAGTATGTCGAGCCAGCAGCAGCGCCAGCTCCCGATAATCAGGTGACCGAGCTGAAGAACATTTTGGCAGCATTCATGACCACCAGCCAGGCTAGTATCACGAGGATGGATCAGACCATAGCTTCACTGGAGGCAGGCCAGAGAGCCTTGGAGGCAGGACAGAGGAACCAGGGTGCCATTCTGCAAGATTTGCAGAACCAGGTTGGCGCCATAGCTCGCCAGATTACTACTCGGGCCCCGGGGACTCTACCTGCCACCACCATCCCTAATCCACGGGACCCGCATGAGACCGCACATGCCATTTTCACCTTGAGCGGCAGGCCTACATCAGCTGATCCTGCCCCGACCAGGCAGGAGGAACCACTACCTGCTTCAGCACTTCCAGCCGGTGATGCAGAAGTGCGGGTGGAGAAGGAAGCCCCTGCTCCCAAGCCACAACCAGTGGTAAAGGAGCACGTACCCCAGCTTCCCTTCCCCACTCGCCTACATAAAGATAAGCTGGAGACTGAGTTTGCCAAGTTCATGGCAATGTTGAAGCAGCTCAACATCAGCGTACCATTTGTGGAGGCCCTGTCGAAGATGCCCAAGTACGCTAAGTTCATGAAAGATCTCTGCACCAACAAGAAGAAACTTGGGGGATCTCTCGACAGTGCTGCTGAGCGAGGAGTGTTCTGCTATCCTGCAGAACAAGCTGCCAGAGAAGCGCAAAGACCCAGGGAGTTTCACTATCCCTCTTGTTATTGGCAGCATGCATGTAGGAAAGTCCTTGGCGGACCTAGGAGCTAGCATTAATGTCATGCCATATAAATTGTTCAAAAAGCTAGACCTAGGTGAACTTAGCCCTACTAGGATGAGCATTCAGCTAGCTGATCGTTCTGTGGTGCATCCTAGGGGTATCATAGAAGATTTGCTTGTTAATGTGGGGGCATTCACATATCCTGTTGATTTTGTTATTCTGGATATAAATGATGATGTGGATGTGCCTTTGATTCTAGGTAGACCATTTCTTGCCACCGCCAAGGCACTAATTGATGTGCATGATGGTAAACTGATCCTGCGTGCTGGAAATGAACAGGCTATTTTTCCTGTGACTGACTTTGATCATTGTGCTATGATTTCTGTATCGCCTGTGCATGCTATTTCTGATCAGGTACACGAGCCTGTCGTGTATCCTTCTGCACCTCTCATTTTGCAGGACCCGCCTATCATTCCTACGCCGCCACTCCATCCAGTCTCGCCTCCGAACAAAAAGCTCAAGGAGGAGTGGCGACCGAAGCCGCAGGTGGCTAAGCCTGCACGGAAGAAAGGTGGAGACCACTATGAGCTGGTCCCACCCCCCGCACCACGACCACCCTGGCCATCCGAGTACTCACTCGCTTGCATCTTGCCGGATGGCCAGGTCGAGCTGACCTCTGCTGGTGGTTGCAACCGTCGGGTGCACGGTCACCACCTGAAGATGTACCTCAAGAGCGATGTGGATCCGCTCTTGGAGGCACCTGATCTTGCACCTCGCTGAGTATCCACCATGAGCGTCCAGCTAAAAGACGGTAAAGAAGCGCTTGTGGGGAGGCAACCCCACCACGGTTTGACTTTCTTTCTTATGTTTCGAGTCGGATTGCGATTTGGTTTTGTTTTGGTTTGTTTCCTTTGTTCTGGATGATGTCTTATTGGGCTGACATCGAACCTAACATATTCTGGTTGAGCTCTTCTGTTCCCCTTGAGCTGTGCTGTGTTCCCGACTGGTCCATTTCCAGTCTCCTGCAGTCCGTGCATACCGGTAACATCGTCCCCTTTCCTTCCCTCTTCTCCATTGAGGACAATGTCGATCTTAAGTGTGGGGGAGTTCGATGTTTATCTTTTGACTGCATTAGATCTGTTTGTGTGCTTGGAGCCTAGTCCACTGTCGAAATTTTTGAATTTGAGGGCTCCAAGTACGTGTTCCTTGCAATTGCCTGCTCAGTATGCTTTGAATTGACAGTCTCTGTAGTGATTTGCAACCTAGGGAGGTAATGTAGCACTATGGAGGATGTTGATGCAACTAAACGGTTGTATTCAAGTTAAGAGAGGTCACCCGGATATGGTTCCCCCTAGTCTGCAGTTAAGCCGGATTGTAATTGCCAAGATCGATTTCTATGAAAGTTATACTGCGGAAGGTTCTCAATCAGTCTGAAGTCTCGACTAAAGGTCTTCAGACCCTCTCAATCTGAGTCTCTAGCTGGCGACTAACCTACACCGGAGTAAACAGATTGAGGCCCTATGAACAAAACCTCCACTACCGAATGGAATTCGGTACAGAATAGTGAACTGGCTCCTCGACTAAAGTCACCAATTCACTACCTTCGATTAAGGATACTCTATCAACCTAGGCAGATATTATCATTCTAGGTTAAAGCAGAAACAACAGGAATTTGATCAGGATTCATGCCATTCAATCATTCAAACCTCAATCGAATATAATCAATATCATAGAATCAATACTTGGGTTCATACAATCAAACCTAACATACAGAACTAGGGTTTCCCACACCCAGATGAATGGGAGAACTACTCCATGGAGAGAGAAGCAAAAGCAGAATCAGACGCGGAAATCATACTGTGAAGATGGATTTCTACTCCTGGACGTTGAATCGGCACTACTCCAAGCTCAAACCAAGCTCCAATGGTGTTGAAGATCGATCTAGGGCACTTGGAGGCTCTTGTTCGTCGCTTTCTCTCTCTAGGAACCGCTCTGTCTCTCAAAAACTCGAATCTCCTTCTGTTTGGCTCGGAATCCACTTAAAAACCAGGCTTTCCCGACTTGCACGGCCAGGGTGCACGGCCGTGCACATCACCATTCTAGCCGTGCACCATGAAACGCACCGTATCAATTATGGTGTCTTCGTCCATCTTGCACGGCCAGGCGCACGGCCGTGCAAGCTTCATGGCCTGCCCGTGCATGGCCTCGGCGTGAGGCGCACGGCCAAATGGCTCAAGTGCACGGCCGTGCAGCCTCCTGGTCTGCCCGTGCACTCCCCAAAAAGCTCGTCCTTCGTCCGTTCTTCCTCCAATCGACCCCAGACTCGCTCCTAAGCCTTCATTCACGTACTAGGACCTGAAATAACACAAACAAGCACAACCTAGCGTGAAATCGGCCTAAAACACGAGAATCAACACCTCAAACGGTGTAAGTATGAGGGTAAAAACATGTGTAAATGACGGTCTATCACTGAGCTGTCTGCACTGACGTTGTTCTCTCCTTCTTCATCAGAGGGGTCGCTGACTGGTGCTGGTGTGGCAGAATCCATCTGATCCTGCTCATGAAAGGCACCTTCATCAGCTCCATAATGGTAGTTGTGAAAACTACCGCTGCCTGTCAGGAAGTTGTACTGGGCTTGGTTGGGGATGTCCGGTTGAACTTCTTCTTCATATGACGAGAAAGATTGATGATGGCCAGCACCTTGCCCTCCATCTTGGTACTGAAAATAGGATTGAGGATCATGGTAACTTTGGTAGGGATGATCGTCATATAATTCACCTCCACCATGGATACCAGATGTTTGACCGTGTCCAGAATGACGTCCAACACCAACGGCTGGCTCGGTGTAAACGAACATCTCGGCTTTGGCCAATTTGTTGGACCTCAAGAATTCGAGCATGGAATCTAGGTCATCTTGAGTGGTTATGGTATATTCCTCATGCCACAATGACCCAGTTGCTCTGTTTGGGTATCGGTACACCATACGATCTAGCCTCCTCGTGCCATCCATGCAAGTTGCGTCAGTGCATATTTGATGGAGGTCTTCAAGCTTCGGTCTGGTACCGACCGTTATTTTCTGAAAATTGCCACCAACGTAGGTGGCCCCCTTTCCGGGTTCTTCCGTGTAACCATTCCACCGTAAGCCAAGCGTTAACTGACGGAATGCCATCTGCACACAAACAAACCGTAGTTTAGTTAATATCATAAAAATCACAAATCACAAATAACAATACAAAGTAACACAAAATAAACTTACGAGTTAATGTTAATGGCATAAAAAGTAACACAAATTAAAGTTACGAGTTAATGTTAATGGCATAAAAAGTAACACAAAATAAACTTACGAGTTAATCTTAATGGCATAAAAAGTAACACAAAATAAACTTACGAGTTAATCTTAATGGCAAACACACTAAATAAATATAGATATACGACAGAAAAATGAAAGAGAGAATGAGAGGTGTGAAGAGTAGAGGTTTTCCGGCAAGTCTTATATAGGGGAAAAAATTGTGAAAACCGCACCTCTAGGGTGCGGTTTTAGTCTGCCATGCAGCCCTACGTCCATAATTCTCTGCATGGCTGTGTCGGGTGTCGGAAAATTATTGACACGTAAACCGCACTTGGGGGGTGCGGTCTACATGGCCAAACCGCACCTTAGAGATGCGGTTTGTTCTTGGAGGAATAAACCGCATCACTAAGGTGCGGTTTATGTAGGTCAGGCCTAAACCGCACCTCGGCCATGCGTTTCATGTAGGCCAGATATGAAAACGCATGGCCAAGGTGCGGTTTAGGCCCACCAATATAGAACGCACCCTCCAGGTGCGGTTTACATATAAAACGCACCTGGGGGATGCGGTTTATATGTAAAACGCATCTCGAGGGTGCGGTCAATAAAAAAGGGTGCTAGTCTTGTAAATATTTTTGGGAGGGTGCTAGTTTTGTAAATTTTTTTTTAAGGTGCTATTTCTGGAAAAAAACTCATGGTATTCCACAAAACAGTACGAATGAAATCCTTTGCCTCGTGAACAAACTAAAGAAGCTTTCAATCCTCTTTGTGAAACAAGAATTATAACACGTACATCCTTATTACTCTTTCTATTGGTTGAGAGACCAAAAATGGAAGATCTTGTTCGAGACAACAATATCTGTAGCTGGCAAAGATATGATCGGAAAGAGAAGATAGGAAACAAACAGAGTACCCGAGTCCTTTGGTGCCACCGGTGACGAGAGCAGTCTGTCCTTGGAGAGACCACCTCTTGCTCATCCTGCTGCTAAAGCTGGTAGCTGCTCCATCCATTTCCAGCCTTTTCTCTTCTGCCTCTGCTTCTCAGTTTCGGCAAGTGCCAAGTACAGCTATCGCTGGCAAGTGGCAACATACACAAAATATATGGCTTGTATGGTATTTGATCTAACTAATTAATACGTTGGGAAAAAATGATGAAACATTTGGTATACGTTATTTTCAAAATACCATAAATCTGTTATTTGACAAATTTTAGGAAAGGGCTGGTACTTGTCAAATAATAAACTATTGTTTTTTATGTTCTAATTATGTCTTTTTATTTAATCTCAAACTGTCATATCATTTTTTTTATCTATTTTGCCCAATTATTCACGTGACCATTACTTGGTTGCTCATCTTATTACATTAATTATAACTAACTGTAACAAGGCATTGAAGAATGGTGTAAAATACCTGTTCATGGGCGCGGCGGAGCTTTTTTATGGGCTAGGAGGCTGGCTGTCTTAAAGTGCAACCTCAAAATCTGGAATCGCAGTGTATTCGGTAACATTAACTCCAGGATTGATGATCTCCTTAGGGACATCAAAAGGCTGGATGAGCTGGATGAGAATGGTGTCATCTCGGATACTGAGAAGGATAATCGTGATGTAATGAGAATTGATCTTAGGAACGCTCTTAACCTTCAAGAGATTTCGTGGAGGCAGAAATCGTGAGAATCGTGGCTTAAAAGGGGAGAAAAGAACACTAGCTACTTTCACAGGGTGGCAAACTATCGTCGGAAACTTAATCATATCAATCGGATCTTTATCAATGAAGTGGCGGTGGAAGGCAGGAGTGAGTTGGGTAATGGCATTGCTACTTATTATGAATCCCTATTTAAAGAAGCTATCAGCAACAGGCCTTTTCCTCGTGTCTACTTTGATTGGGGAATTAGTGAAGGAGATAAAAGAGATCTTGTCCAGGAGTTCACAGAGAAAGAGGTTTGGGATGCAATTAGATGGTGTGATGGTTCTAAGTCCCCGGGTCCGGATGGGTTCACTCTGGAATTCTATAAAAAAGGCTGGCCGATCATTAAAAACGATATTATGGCCGCTTTCAAAGACTTTCACAGCTCTGGATATCTCCCTGACAGCATAACCCACTCCTTTATTTGCCTCACTCCGAAGGTGGATGCTGTTGAAAATATTAAAGATTTGAGACCAATATGTCTTATGGGCAGTTTCAATAAAATTGTCAGCAAAGTATTGATGAGGAGGATGCGTGATGCCCTTCCGAATGTGGTGTCTTTGAACCAGCATGCTTCTATAAGAGGAAGACACATCTCTGAAGCGACTGTTATTGCTAACGAATTGATCGATAGTAGAAGGAAGAGTAGGAGACTGGGTCTCCTGTTCAAGCTTGATATTGAGAAGGCCTTCGATAACATTAATTGGGGCTGCCTGTGCAAGATCCTTGATCGTTTGGGGTTCCCTTCTAAATGGCAGCAATGGATCAGAGCTGTGATGTGTCGTCCGGTGACTTCTGTTCTTGTCAATGGCGAGGCATATGGGTTTTTTAGGCCGGAGAAGGGAGTCAGACAAGGCGACCCGCTGTCCCCGGGACTTTTTGTCCTGGTTATGGATATTTTGTCCTTCATGGTGAATAAGGTAAAAGATATGGGTGGCATCAGGGGATTTTTTATGGACGAGCAGCAAGAACGAGGGGAAGTTACTCACCTTCTCTTTTCCGACGACTCTTTAATTTTCTGTGACGCTTCGGTTACTCAAGTTACGAATATTCTGGCCACTTTAGTTTGCTTCCAAGCTGTCACGGGTCTCAAAATCAACTTGCAAAAATCCATGATGTTCATGAGCCGGCCTTTTTTGCTAGTGTTTTTGGTTGCAAGTGGAGCACTGACCCGACTAAGTACTTGGGGCTGCCCTTGGGGGATAAACCGAATGGAGTTTCTGTTTGGAACTCTATCATTGACAAGTATCAGAATCGGCTTCAAGGGTGGAAAAGCAGGGAACTCTCATTTGGTGCTAGACTTACTCTTAATAGTTCTACCCTTAATAGTCTCTCTGTGTACCAATTCTCTATGCTTAAAGCGCCTTTGACAGTGGTGGAGAGGATGGAAAAGATTCAGCGTAGATTCTTGTGGAGTGGAACCAGAGACAAAGAAAAAATGCATCTTGTTAGATGGGAACTTTGTAAAGCGGATAGGAAAAAGGGAGGTCTCGGTGTGATCGACCTTCACAGTTTCAATGTTGCTCTTTTGGGGAAGTGGCTGTGGAGGTATGTTGTGGAGAGAGATAGCTGGTGGCGTCAATTAATTGAAATTAAGTACGCTGATCATCATTCTGAATGGAGAACCCGGGACCTGATTAGGGGCTATGGCAGCTCCGTGTGGGCCAATATATCTAAGGTCAGCAGTGTTTTTTGGAAGGCTGCTTGTATTGAGCCAGGGTCGGGAGCGCACGTTTCTTTTTGGCATGACACTTGGATCCCTGGGGATCGGCTCGTCGATACTCATCCTAGAATTGATGCTGCTGCTTCTTACCAGGACGCTCGAATATCTGATGCTGTGACCTCCAATGGTGAGAATCTCTCGTCTTATTCCTTTAAATGTTACTGTTCGTGGGGGGGCTGAGTGTGAGCGATTGAATCTCTTGAGAAAGGTGATGGATAACATCCACAGGATTTCGTGTAGCCCCAGTCGGATTATGTGGTTGCCAAATGTGGAATCCTCTTTTTCTGTCAATGCTTTTTACAGGTTTCAGGTGTCGAACAGATTTCAGGGGGTGGAGAACTTCCCTTTTAACTCGGTTTGGAAAGGGTTCAATCCTACCAAGGTGTGCGGTTTCCTCTGGCTTGTGTGGCATAAGAAAATTCTTACCCTGGATAGCTTAAAGCTTCGAGGAGTCGCCCTTGCAAATCGTTGCGCTTTGTGTGGCAGGGACGAGGAAAGCATAAATCACTTGTTCACTGGTTGCAGCTTTACTAGGGATGTTTGGCAGCTGGTTTCTCGTGCAGTTGTTGATTGCAGGCCGCCAGTGGGCGATATCAGTGAAGCTATAAACAATTGGTATACCGGACCGATGGAGGGCATTCGCGCCGGCTTTCTGCATTGTGCCATTCATGCTGTCAGCTGGCTTGTCTGGAAGGAGAGGAACCAAAGGATCTTTTAGCAAGTGAGCAGCTCGGCTCCTATCGTGGCTGGAAAGATCATGAAAGCTATCTCGGAGTGGATCATTGTTAATGGCAAAGTGGACAAGGAAGAGGGTCTTCAATGGTTAAGAGCTTGGAAATCTATGTGCAGCGGTCTCCTTCTTTTGAGTGGGTAGGGTCAGAGGTTTGCTGTAATTTTTTCTTGGAAGGTCTGTGTGTCTGAGGCTTGTTGGCCCTCTTGGCCTTTCTCTTTTGTCCTCCTCTGTAGCCCCTGTAGGTTTCGGTTTCTTTGCTAGTTTCTCGGCTTTCTTTGTGTTGGATCGCTTCATCCCTCGTGGAGCGAGACCTGGTTTCCAGACTCCTTTCTGTTCTCTTCTTCTCACTCTGTTTCATTTAATAAAGTTCATCACATTCATAAAAAAAAAAACTGTAACAATAACTCAATATGTCTTGACACACTATTTCATTAAAATAAATTGTAATTTCCATGCATATTAATATCGTTTAAAATGTATATTTATAACATTTTACAATTTATGTGAATCTTTTAAAACACATTATTATATTAATACAACATATAAAACTTAGTACAAATTAATACTGAAACATATGCATGTTGACCAAGCATACACATGCTGACCAAACGAGAAAAAAATGGGGTTAAGAATGACAAATTGGTAAAATAAAATAAAAAATTGATTGTAAATACCATTAATTATAATTCATCCAAACGTGAAATTTCGTAAAAGTACCACATAAGAGATATTGTGGCATATGGCATTTATGCGATAATTAATCTCAGATAAAAGGTTTGTTAAATACCAATCCAAACCACCCGATAGTGATTTTTAGAAAATATTACCATATGGCACCAAAAGGTATCTAAAGGTTTAAGCATATATTGATTCACTATATCATGAGTTTTTTCCAGAAATAGCACCTTTAAAAAAAAAATTACAAAACTAGCACCCGCCCAAAAATATTTACAAAACTAGCACCCTTTTTTATTGACCGCACCCTCCAGGTGCGGTTTACTTATAAAACGCATCCCCCAGGTGCGTTTTAAATGTAAACCGCATCTGGAGGGTGCGGTCAATAATGGTGGGCCTAAACCGCATCTGGGCCATGCGGTTTCATGTCTGGCCTACATGAAACGCATGGCCGAGGTGCGGTTTAGGCCTGACCTACCTAAACCGCACCCTAGAGATGCGGTTTCTGCCTCCAAGAACAAACCGCATCTCTAAGGTGCGGTTTTGACATGTAGACCGCACCCCCCAAGTGCGGTTTACATGTCAATAATTTTCCGACACCCGACACACCATGCAGAGAGGATTATGGACGTAGGGCTGCATGGCAGACTAAAACCGCACCCTAGAGGTGCGGTTTTCACAATTTTTTCCCTATATAAGACTTGCCGGAAAACCTCTACTCTTCACACCTCTCATTCTCTCTTTCATTTTTCTGTTGTATATCTATATTTATTTAGTGTGTTTGCCATTAAGATTAACTCGTAAGTTTATTTTGTGTTACTTTTTATGCCATTAACATTAACTCGTAACTTTATTTTGTGTTACTTTTTATGCCATTAACATTAACTCGTAACTTTAATTTGTGTTACTTTTTATTGCATTAACATTAACTCGTAAGTTTATTTTGTGTTACTTTTTATTGTTATTTGTGATCTGTGATTTTTATGATATTAACTAAAACTATGGTTTGTTTGTGTGCAGATGGCATTCCGTCAGTTGTTGCTTGGCTTACGGTGGAATGGTTACACGGAAGACACCGGAAAGGGGGCCACCTACGTCGGTGGCAATTTTCAGAAAATAACGGTCGGTACCAGACCGAAGCTTGAAGACCTCCATCGAATATGCACTGACGTTACTTGCATGGATGGCACGAGGAGGGTAGATCGTATGGTGTACCGATACCCAAACAGAGCAACTGGGTCATTGTGGCATGAGGAATATACCATAACCACTCAAGATGACGTAGATTCCATGCTCGAATTCTTGAGGTCCAACAAATTGGCCAAAGCCGAGATGTTCGTTTACACCGAGCCAGCCGTTAGTGTTGGAGGTCATTCTGGACACGGTCAAACATCTGGTATCCATGGTGGAGGTGAATTATATGACGATCATCCCTACCAAAGTTACCATGATCCTCATTCCTATTTTCAGTACCAAGATGGAGGGCAAGGTGCAGGCCATCATCAATCTTTCTCGTCATATGAAGAAGAAGTTCAACCGGACATCCCCAACCAAGCCCAGTACAACTTCTTGACAGGCAGCGGTAGTTTTCACAACTACCATTATGGAGCTGATGAAGGTGCCTTTCATGAGCAGGATCAGATGGAGGATGCCACACCAGCACCAGTCAGCGACCCCTCTGATGAAGAAGGAGAGAACAACGTCAGTGCAGACAGCTCAGACCCTCTTGAAGGTGCTGATGATTCAGCACCAGATTCAGATTCAGATAATGATCATGATGTGGGTCCTGACCGTGTACCAGTCCCCTACTACAATCACATTCCAGACGACAATTGGATGGTCGACAGCGACATGGAGCCGCCAGAGGTCCCAATATGGGGCCCACTCACTGGGTTTACGAAGGGCCAACAATTTGGCTCGAAGAAGGATGTGCGGCACGCCCTTGAGACTGAAGCAATGACTCGGCATTTTGAATGGGACACAACTCATTCCAACACCAAAAGGCTCATAGTCAGATGCCGTAATCATCACGAGGGGTGCAATGTTAGGATTCGGGCCATCAACAGCAAGAGACACGGCCACTGGGTCATATCACGTGCGGTCAACACACACACATGTGTGTCATCCATAACTTCCCAAGGCCATCGACAGTTGAAATCCAGGGTGGTTGCTGCGGCTATCAAGCATCTGATTGAGGCTGAACCGGATCTGAAGGTGAAAGTCATAATCGCTGACATTGCAAGTCGTTTTGGTTATATGATTAACTATAAGAAGGCGTGGCATGGAAAGCAGAAAGCTATGGCCGCCGTCTATGGTGATTGGGAAGAATCATATGCATTCCTTCCCAGACTAATACTGGCATTGGAGGCGTCTAACCCTGGGACTGTGTTCTCCCCTCGATACCAAGATGAAGAGATACAACCCCCAGAGGCAGGTAACGAACGCCATTTTCGCAGACTGTTTTGGGCATTCAAGCCTTCTATTGATGGTTTTGGCTTTTTTATCCCTGTGATTACTGTGGATGGTACATTCCTTACCGGCAAGTACAAGGGCACTCTCCTGATTGCCAGTGGGGCGGATGGAAACAGACAAGTCTTTCCTTTAGCCTTCGCCATTGTTGAGGGAGAGAATGCTGATAGCTATGGATGGTTTTTCCGACAAATCCAAATCCACGTCACCAAGAGGACGAACCTGACAATAATCTCTGATCGGCACGCCGGCATCAGAGCAGCCATCTTAGACAAAATGTGTTATGACTACATGATGGGGTATGAGAAGTTTACCTTGCTCCATAAGCTTCACCTCTTAGGGGATGATCGATTGGCCAATCCCTGTCTGGACGTTGGGCCGGTGCAAGCCATGGCATATGCTCCCAAGCCCAAAATTGGACGATGAACATTGCGCCGCCAACCTCCCTCACGGCTTTGTTCGACGCATTGCACAAGTTGTTGTAGATGATAGCTAGGCAAGCGGATGCCCAACTATACTCCCCCATCTCCTCCCAACTACTGAAGATGATCCTAATCCATCCACAACTAAGGAGATTGCTTGATTTCTTGGAGAATAACACTCCTCCGATCATGCCTATGAGATAGACACGAGCATATCTCTCCTTCTCATCCTCCGGACTTTCCTCGGTTAGGGGGTGACTCTCGTAATGCTCTCTAAAATACTTCGTCAACCATGTAATTGAGACTTGGTGTTTCCTCATTGGTGGCATGCGATCGGTCGCATCAACGCAACCCTTCACCGGTACTTTCACTCCCAAATGACTGTGGATGAAATGCTGCCAACCTGGCATACCGTCACAATCCTCGGGGGGATGATCACTCACGCACACCGGTTTGCCGTCGATGGGCAGATGGGTTAGGATGGCGACATCCTTTAGCGTGATGGTGGCCTCTCCTTCTCTAAAGTTGAAACAATGGGTCTCCTTTCTCCATCTCTCGGCTAATGCGGTGATGAGTTGGCGATCGATTTGGATGCCGTTAAAATGCCTAATCGAGTCTAACCGTGCCCTTTTGAGAAATGGCAAGATAGCTGGGTGGAATGGGAGCACATTGGTGGTACCCCTATAGCGGATTATTGTTTGTGATTCCTAGAAAAAATGTACACGTTAATTATTATTAGTAAGGGTTTTTTTTCGTATAAATAATTTAATTAAATTAATTGGTGCGACATAAAACATAATTTTATTATCATAAAAAGACATTTCATATTATCATAAAACAAACGTCCTAAATTAATTAACATAATAACATTGTCAATGAATAATAATTTAAAGAGGTACATACATATTATCGTAAAACAAACATACTAAATTAATTAACATAAATAACATTGTCAATGAATACTAATTTAAAGAGGTACATACATATTATCGTAAAACAAACATACTAAATTAATTAACATAAATAACATTGTCAATGAATACTAATTTAAAGAGGTACATACATATTATCGTAAAACAAACATACTAAATTAATTAACATAAATAACATTGTTAATGAATAATAATTTAAGTAGAAACATACATATTCAAATGTTTGGTAAATAATTTAATCGTATTAGTTGTTTTAAATAATTTAATCGAATACAAAGCAACACTCGTTAGACTCTTAGAAGAGGTATACATCTTCTTAGAAACGCAGTCTTTTTGACAGAAAAAGGGGGGATCCGAGGATCTCTTAATACCCGATTTTCCCAGGTAATGGGAGGATATGATAATCGCTTAAAACCTCATTTCCTTAGACGTGCATCTCTTTATAAAGAGTCGAAGTAAGTGGCGCTATGTATTCGATTAAATTATTGAAAACAACCAACACGATTAAAAAATAAACATAAATTAATTTTATATTACACTAGGCACATTAACAAAATAAAAGAAGGACAAATGGTGAAGAATTGTATGTACCGGGTGATCGTTCCAAACATCCCTTGACCGATGGTTGGATTGGTCGTACAAGTCGGTTGGATCCACCGGTCCTTGCTCGAGATAATACCGTTGGTTGTATATATCGACGTCCTCCCCAACCTACGAGAAAATAACAACGAGGTTAGTACATAGATTAATTAAAAAACTTATAACAACAACAAAAATTAAACCAAAATAATGAGTACATACCGCTTGAAATTCATCAACATAAACTCCTTCTCTTTGCCACCAATCGGCCATTATTTCGGCGTAATTCGGACAGAGCTTCGGCTCGACTCGGAGGGTTTTGAGGAAAAAACCTAAGAAATGTTTTCTGATGGCAGATCGGACTTAGCCGCAACCAACAGACCACTATTTCCTAGGCTTTTGGGAGGGGAGGGTTTAGTTAGAGAGATAAATTGTAGAGAGAGGAGGAAGAATGGGTTGTGGTGTGAAGAAATGAGAGGGGGAGGGGGGGTATTTATACCCATCAGACCGCACCCCCCAGGGGCGGTCCAGTAATTTTGGCCTAAGGGAAACCGCTGCCTCCCGATGCGGTTTGCGCTTCCCAAGGGTTGACCGCTGCCTCCAGCTGCGTTCCCAAGGGTTGGCACGGATCGCTTCGCTGGCATGCGATCCACCGTCAGATCGCATCTCCATCTAGCGGTCTTGAAGACCGTTCCGCAGCTGGCGCGGATCGCTCCGCTGGCATGCGTTTCCACACTGAGACCGCGCCTCCATGATGCGGTTTATAAGTTAAACGCATCCTTCAGGTCCGGTTTACTTATAAAACGCATCATGGAGGTGCGTTCCATAAAAATGTGTGCTAGTTCTGTCAATTTTTTCATATGTGTGCTATTTTTGTAATTTTTTTTTTTTAGGGTGCTATTATTGGAAAAATCTCCTATATCATGAGGATAAAAAATGGTTATGAAAATTAATTCGTCTAAATTACCAGTTCAGTAGTCGGTCTGGTTCTCAAAATAGAGCTTGGTACGCAGCTAAGGGAAGTCGGATAAGAAACTTACAGTCCGTTGATTCATCCAATTTGAATCGATTTACAATTGATTACTATTCGAAAGGAAACAGAAAAATTAGCAGCCAGAATGGAACTTGGTGGCAAGAGCCGGCTCAGCCCCAGAATGGAAGCTACCTCTGCTAACCACAATCTTGGTCCAAAAAAGTAAGGAACCCAAACGAGTAGCAGCTTCTAAGAATGGCTGGGGAAGAAACCATTAACAGACATCCCTCCATCGACACAAATAATCTGACCGGTGATGTAAGACGAGGCAGGCAGGCAAAGGAATGCAACCAGAGATGATACCTCTGTTGGCTCTCCCAGCCGCCGCAGAGGAGTTCTCGAGTATACCTCCTCTAGATACTTTTCATTGCTAAGAACCTGTTATGAAATAAATCGATGAAGGGAGTGAGCAGGTGCGTTCTCTTCAGGTGGAGGGAGATCAGTGACAACAATCATATAAACTAAACCTGGAAGCTCAGAGTAAAACAAGTTTTATAACTGATCATCAGTGTAGTGGAAAAAAAGAAGGAAACTAACTTACTTGTTCCACCATGGACGTCTTGATGTACCATGGGGCAACAGCATTGCTTCTAATGTTGTCCTTTGCCCACTCGCAAGCCAAACTCTTTGTCAATTGATTGATTGCTCCTGGGCATCAATCAAAGCACTTTGCATCCTCAGTCAGGAAAGCCCTTCAAATGAAACAGTGCATCCATATTCAGCCCTCAAAGTAGAAGGCTGATTGCAGTTTACCTTTCGTTGCTCCATGAACAGACATCGACTTCAACGACAGGAAACCAGTCACAGAAGATGTGAAGACAACACTTCCCTGTCCTGAGGCCTTCAGAAGTGGATAAGCTAGTTGGCTTAAATGGAAAGCAGATTCAAAATTGGTCGACAGTAGAGTAGCAAATTCCACCGGTGTGAACTCCTCCATCGGCTTGCGAATATTTGTCCCAACATTGTTAACCTACAGAGCAGGAAAGAAGCCCAACCCTCAAAAGTTCGTGCCCTGTAGAATAGCTATCAGAAAGCCTAAAGGGTTCTCTGTGCGTGGTAGTATCCCTACCTCCACAGATCTTCCATGAATGCCAAACCTAAAGGGTTCTAAGTTGCAGCTCATAAATGTCAAGGAAAAAGCTAAAACAGGCAATTCTCAATCGATTCACTTAATCATAAATTAGCAACGAGGGAGGAAGCTTACGAGAATATTGAGCTTCCCATCAAAGACAGAGGACACTGTTCTCATTAGCTCAACTCTTTTCTCACCAACAGAGACATCACAGAGGGAGCCGCTGATTCCAGACCCCAGCAAGCCTTCCCACTCCTCCAAGCACTGCCTAAGCTCACTCCCATTCCTGCAGCACGTATGCACTTTGGCCCCAAGACCCACCAATTCCTCCACAACGGCCCGTCTACAGAACAACAAGAACGCCAAAACAAATCCCTTTTCGATTTCAGAGGGAAGTTACTGATTAATTGAAGGCAGAAAGTGATCAGACCCGCCGAGCGGTGTCAATGGGAAATGTCATACCCAATACCGCGAGTCCCGCCGGTGACAAGGGCCGTTTGCCCACTGAGGCTCCACCTGCCATCTCCCTTGCTTCCGCCGTCGGCGCTCCTCGCATTACGCACAACCGTGCTGATTCGTGGGAGAAGACATTTTTTAGCCGATTGGAAGAGAGCTCTGTGCGAGAAGCATACATGCGTAAGTCGCCATTCAGGATGATTGGCATTCCCGACGGAAGAAGAAGACGCGACACAGTATGAAGAAGAGGGAAGAGAGGACGAGTCGACGAGGAGTTGGGAAGGCATGGTGGCGAGTTTGCGAGTGGGGATCAAGAGTTAAAACACGCCCTTCCCTTTTGCCGATCACCCAATTTTGCAGAGGTAGAAGGATATCTGAACCAAGGCATGGGTTGGGTCAGAAATAACAGGCCCAACACACTCATGGAAGCCTCTCGGCCCATCAAGCATGGGCCATGCCAAGTCACAAATTCTAAATCAAATAATAGTTAAATCATATAAGAGTGCGTTTGGATACAATGATTTGGATTTGGTATTTGTTATTTGGATTTCTAAATATCAAATCATGTGTTTGGATATTAATTACATTTGGTATTTGGATTTGTGTCAAATTCATGGGGTGATTCCCAAATACATGTCTAGTGTATTTTTTGTCAACTTCACATACATTTCAACAACTAGTGATTTGAAATACCTCATAACAAAAAATTGGACCTATTTGTAAAATATGAAAAGTTTAGGTACTATAGTGTGAGGAAAAACATATAAAGGTACCAAAATGTAATTTTACCATCAAAATTTTATGACCTTTTTGTAAAATTTTAAAATTTTAGGTACTAAATTGTAAGAAAAAATAAATTTGAGTACCAAACTGTAATTTACCAAAATTTGTAGTAAGTGACCAAAATTTAAAAATTCAAATTGAAAATCGTAAAATACAAAATACAAACAAATTACAAATGAGTATCCAAACAATGAATTTGAATTACATGTATTTCAAATGCTAATATTTCAAATGCTAGTATTTCAAATACCTTACATTTAAAATACACTTATCCAAACGCACCCTAAGTGGCTTCTACTGTAAACTCAAGATATGATCCGTGTATAATATGCCCTTAATCCTAAAACTAACATTAAGATATTGCATTTTGAACTTTATTTGCCAGCATTATTTCAATATGATTATATAGTATAAGATCACAACTAATCCATGGACTATCATAAGTCTTGAATTTTAAATTCAAATCCCAAAATCTTGGAATCCTTCAAATCAAAATAAAACTTTAATGATTTATGTGCAAGTTCATGCATTTTCTTGTTTATCATATTCATCTCACAAGTGAATATCGAAATCATTTTAAAATGAATGCGCCCAATAAATTGAGTGTACCGAAGACAAAATCATGTAGTGAGTCTGATTGTTATACTTTTGGAGTAGGATACTCCAAGTTATCATAATTATCATATACAACTTAAAATATGAATTAATTATAGTTTGGAGTATGATAAGATATCCTCATAATTAATGGGTGAACCTTAGACTCTATTTTGTAAACCAAAATCCTAAGATCAATTTTACATAAGAAAAAATTAACCGTTCTGATTGTTCAATTTTCATCAAAATATATAAAAATGTCATATCATTTAGGGTATACTATTTTCAATTGCATATAGAGACCAAATCATTATTATATCATAGGTATTGTACGTTAGTCACACTATAAAACTCGTTAATCGTCAATCAAACTTGTACAAAATACAAATATTATGAAAATCATATCGATCGATTTTAAAATTAATTTTTTAATGTCCATAATTCAATTCGGTTTCAATGATATTCACCAACATAATATAAATTTTTTTATATAAGGGTGAGATAGGTTTTTTTTGTGGTTAAGGTACTAATTAAGAGATTCAAACTTAAAATCTCCAATTTCAAAACTAGTGGTATTATTACCAAACCCTTATTCGTACACCAATATAATATTAATTTTTATTTTAACAATAATATTACATTAATTTACTATCAATTGTACAACTAAAATATCATTACGCTAAATTGTCCGATACAATTTCACAAACCAATTATAGTGTCGTTCTCAACAAAGTCGCAGAAAATGTTACAATTGTTTTCAGTTAGACCTAACTACAAGCGTATAACGACGCAATCCATTATTTATATATTTCCTCGTTTGATTCTCCTATATTTTGGCAGACAGAAGCAAGTTTTTTTTTTTTTTTTTTCTTTTTCTCAAGGAGCGATTAGCGGACGGGTCTCGGTAAATAAGTAGGAAGGTGGTCTATTTTGGGAAGTCCATTTCACTGAGTAGAGGACCAAATGGGCAGACAAAAGGAATCCCAGAAAATAAAGAAATACTGCAGAGGCTGACATGGCCGGCGATCTCGTTCGTGCGGAAAGCGATCGCTAGCCTTCATTGTCAATTTGTCACACTTGAAACCTCCGACGAGTTCCCAGCAGAGAGTGGAGATATTGAATATATATATCAAATTGAGGAAACTTGGTCGATCGTTTTCCTGCCCAACATTTCACATCTTTGGCAGGGAATTCATAGCTGCATACGTATATAATCCTGGCTGATGGATCCACGCTAAATTTTCCTGGACAAGTCAAAGGGAAGCAGAGTCCAACTCAGTTGTTCAACCAGCAGAATCAGTTCTTGGGAAACCAAATCAGGAGAATGTGTTGGCCAAGGCCAAGGGAGACTTGCAAGAGCTTTTCTATATATCTAGGTATGAAATGCCAGATTCAGGGTTTGATGTCTCCTGCACAGGCTACGGAGCTCGGAAATGGCAAGGATGTGCAACAAATTAAAGTGTACCATCAAAAGCTAGCTACCACACCAAAGAAGGAGGTGGGAGAGAAGGAAAGAGGCACGAGTAGAGTCTCTATTGTTCAGGCAAAGGTCTCATTTAATTTGCCCAGTTCCATCTCTACCGCCACAAACTGGTGGAGCACTTTCAGAACAATTAAGTTTGTGGATATGTTGAAGAAAATGCGGTTAGCTTAAGCTAGGTTGTGGGGAAGCCAGAAATTCGAACGAGCGACTACTCTAATTCTTAAATTTGTTCTAATTTTAGATGTAATTTTACTTATATTGAGTCCTAGCTCCACCACTGGGCTGAGTTATTAACCTTGTTACCCTAGTTTGATATACAACTTCAATGACCACGTTCCAAATTTGGCAATTTCAAATGATCCTGAACTATTTTTTTATATTCAACAGACTTTGTTGTTGTTTTGGATAATAGATTTTTTATTCTGCAGAGTTCTTTTTCGTTGCCTTAGTATTTGGACGTAAGCGCTATGATTTATTACTCTCATAAAGAGATAATTGTGCTCTCATTTTTCTCTCATCTGAGTTAGTTTCGTGTCTTTATACTCTTAAAAAGGTTTTACGTAGTTGTCCACCTAGTAGCAAACAAACTAGTTTATGCAAATCCCGGTGATTAAAGACTGCCGCTGTTGGTAATTATTGTTAGTTTTATATTTTGTTGTCCGATCATGGCCAGGGACTTATCTTGGATAATAAAAAAATAAAAGAGATATAACACGTTAAATTAAATTGTTAGGATCCAAACAGAACTGCTCCCAACATATTTTAGAAGGTATATAGTTAAAAATTAATATTAAATACTTTTCAGTAATTTAATAACAGGAGTAGGTATTTTTCTAAACTATATATGTAGTATTACTAGATATTTTGATTTTCCTGTAAAATAATATATACTATCAATTCATGCTAGTTTGAAGGACCCATATCTCACAGTTTTGGTCTCAAATTTAGCGTTGAACAAATACTAATGAGATTGAAACGACGTAGAGATCAGTGTAGCGCAGTAGAGGAAGAAGATGTAAATAAATTGGGAAGGCAAGGAAGGAAGGAAGGAAACGAGTCACACATCCTGCGGCAGCTTCATCAATGTTTGGAACTCTAATTAATTAACGACCTACGTACGTACGTTCTTTGGTGGTAACATTAATGTAATGTAATGTAATGTAAGACGGAGCAGCCAAAGCAAAGGCCCCGTGCGCCATCCCGACATTCACACACATTCATATGCATGCGTCTCCGATCCATTAATGTCATGCGCCCGCATCTGTACTCATCCACATCTTGACTTGTAGTAATTTCTATATATACCGGCCACAAGGAATCGCTGCGTCTATTAACTTCCTCTCCATCTGCCTGTCTCCCCCATTACTACCACCCAAAGCTTCCAGTGCAATTTGGAATATATATATATATATGACTAAATTCTTTTAGTAAGATGGCGCTATCTAAATTAATGGATGAATTGAAATTTAGGATACATATTATTGATCATCAATAAATTTAATTACCTAGAATAATAATAGTACGTACTTCAAAATTGTACCAACCCACACCCAAAGTATCCCCAAACACATAGATTAGATTAGATTAGATTAGATTAGATGCATGTAGTGCATAATTCATTTTGGACGACCCTGGCTCCTCCTGCTAGCATTCCATTCATGACTCCTCGTTCATAAATTAAATGTGGAACCAACCCACCGCGCCGGTACGTGTCTGTCAGAGATCTCCGTAGCTAGCTTAGCCTACATTTATTTATACCCACCAATCTTGACTTCTTTTCACCACAACAAGTACTAGTAGTGTGGTTTCCTTTTCTTAACAGATCCAAGTGCGTTTTTAATTATGATATGCATGCATGGTGTCCATCGATCCCATCCCATGATCTGGTGTAATATCATATCATATCATATCAATTAAGCACTCTACTTTTAACAAACCTAGCTAGCTAGCTTATATATGCAGTAGTCTTATCTTAGGGCTTCTTAATATACATGATATGATATCTCGTAGGACTAATCAGTAATAGGGCATTAAAGCTCCGACGCGAATTAAGTACAAACACTAGTGACCATTAAGATGATCATATCATGAGCAATATTAAGCACTGGTACTTAATTAATTAATAAATTAAGTGCCTAATATTAATTCTACTAATTAATGAATTGATTACATGAATAACTAGCTAGCTATAGCTAGGGATGATCGATTTCGTTTAGTTTGAACAGCCAGATCGAGAGAGCAAGTAGATACATGTAATGTAAGCTAGCTAACATAACATATCCCTTTGGCTATAGTGGTACATGGATCGATTGCTTAATTAATTAATTAAGGGTTTCTAATCTGACTGTCTGCGATGGGCTGGCCGGCGCCGTATTTTGATTTCATGGACAACTCCGAATTCACATGATTAGGAAACCTAGCTTCAGCAGCGCTAGCTAGCTAGCTAGCTAGGGATATTATCATAATCAGCCAATATGATAGTTGAT